CTCCTCTTCATTAACATACTCACTTTGTCTCCCTACAGTATCTAAGCTGACTGACTCCCAGCTACCTCCACTGGCACTAGCATCTCAGCTGCGGATTCCAGCCTTTCCTTCCCATCTGACTCAAAATCTCTTCCCCCATTCCTTGATGTCTCTTTCAGGCACAATGGGCTCAAACCCTGTAAACACACACAGGGCTCCAGGCTGTGTGCCCCAGTATATTATTACTTTGAATCAGAGAGTCTGCAGACAGAACCAAGAGCACAGCTGGAATAAAGTAACAGATACAGCAGCACAGTGCTCTTTATTGAAGAAGGGGAATAAATAGTTTCAAGCAAGTGCGCAGAACAACTTTCAGCAAAGAGTGGGAGGCTCCATTCAGTGCTGACTGTCACCTTCCTTGAGTATTTCTATTTTACTGTTTACTTGGTTGCTATAAATAAAATATGCTAGAGCTCAAGTAACTAAAACTGCTGGTTTTAGGTTTGACTTCAGTGCTACAACTAAGTGCAATACTAAATTCCAATCTGTGCCACAGTATCTTGTCTTGTGCTATAGGGTCTGAAATGGCAGAATGCACATTTTATAGACCATTTTACACAGCTTTATCAGTTTTAAATCTGTCACTAGACTTATGAGGCAACCATAATTATTATCATCATTTTAGAAATGTGGAATGAATCCATTTTAGTCATATGCCCAAGAATGTTTGACGAAAAAAGGGCTCAGAAACATTAAAGGAATTACAAATAGATATTTCCTTGATTCAGTATTTGTAGATAAAATAATGTGCATCATTTGCATAGGTAGCAAACAAGTTGCATAATAGACAAAATATGTTTCTTGACATTGGGGAGCTAGACTACAACAAACCTATAAAGTAATCAGGTATATAGAATATTTATTTCAAATCAACTATATATCCATGTTCAAAATAAATTAGGTATATTAACCGCAACTAAACCCCAAGCTAACTAACTTTAATTTCCAATAAAAGGTGCAGCTGATAAAGTAACTCATCACCAATACAAACATATTAATCTGTTTGAGGTAAGTTTGGGGAATTGCTCTGTAGACTGAAACATCTTCAAACACAGCAGGAAAGAGACTTAGTTTGAAGAATTGCTTTGCATTTTGTTGTTCTATAAAATTCAATTACCAAGATTCATTTAGTCCCTTTTTTAAAAAGGTTAAAAAAATAGGATAATTGTTACCTAGTAATGTTATACAATGTTATATAGTTGTATAAAATAAAGAATATATAAAATTTTCAAATTCTCATGCTGTTATTTATAATTCACAACAGAAACAAGAAAACTTTAAATGTTATGAATAGAATTATCAACAGAAATTCACACACTGCAAGAGGTCTATGAATGACTAACCTGGAAGGTTAAGGAATGAATGTAAACAATTAAGCTACTCTTTCAGTTCAACAATAAATAACTTTTATAAATCACTAGATGAGAGAAACTCATAGGTTTGTTCATTATACCAGAAGATTAAATTAACTATGCCAACATGCATTATTTTTTATGGAAGTTATCAAGCAATTTTTACAGTTTGCTATTAAGTTGTGCATCTTCATGGATCACTGCCTTGTCGTGGTGAAGGGGCTCTGAGGGTGTGGAATGGGCTTCCACGAGAGGTTGTTGAGGCCCCATCGGTGCAGGTGTTCAAGGATAGGCTGGACGTCCACATGGTGGGCATGTCGTGAGCTGAGCCGGCTGGCGTCGGAGATCAGACTAGATGGCCCGGGAGGTCCCTTCTGACTCGCTTTGTTTTCTATGTTTCTATGTAGCTCAATGAAGCTATGAGCTATGCCGTGCAGGGCCATCCAAGACGGCAGAGAGCTCTGACAAAACATGATCCACTGGAGAAGGAAATGGCAACCCACTCCAGTATCTTTGCCATGAAAACCCCATGGACGGTACCAAAAGGCAAAAAGATATGACACTGGAAGATGAGCCTCTCAGGTCGGAAGGTGTCCAATATGCTACTGGGGAAGAGCGGAGGGCTAGTACTAGTAGCACCAGAAAGAATGAAGCAACTGGGTCAAAGCCAAAAGGACACTCAGTTTCAGATGCATCTGGTGGTGAAATGAAAGTCTGACGCTGCAAAGATCTATACTCCATAGGAACCTGGAATGCAAGATCCATGAATCAACGCAAGTTGGATGTGGTCAAACAAGAGATGACAAAACTGAACATCAACATCTTAGGAATCAGTGAACTAAAATGGACAGGAATGGGTGAATTTAATTCAGATGACCATCAGGTATACTGCTGCGGGCAAGAATCCCTCAGAAGAAATGGAGTAGCCTTCATAGTCAATAAAAGAGTAGGAAGAGCAGTACTGGGATACAATCTCCAAAATGACAGAATGATCTCAGTTCAAATCCAAGGCAAACCATTCAACATCACAATAGTCCAAGTCTATGCCCCAGCCACTGGTGCTGAAGAGGCTGAAGTTGACTGGTTCTATGAAGGCCTACAACACCTTCTAGAATTAACTCCAAAAAATGATGTCCTTATCATCATGGGGGATTGGAATGCTAAAGTAGGAAGCCAAAAGATAACTGGAATAACAGGAAAGCTTGGCCTTGAAGTACAAAATGAAGCAGGGCAGAGACTGGCAGAATTTTGTCAAGAGAATATGATGGTCATAGCAAACACTCTTTTCCAACAACCCAACAGACGACTCTACACATGGACATCACCAGACGGTCAACACAGAAATCAGATTGACTATGTGCTCTGCAGCCAAAGATGGAGAAGCTCTATACAGTCAGTAAAAGTAGTCCAGGAGCTGACTGTGGCTCAGATCATGAGCTTCTCATTGCAAAATTTAGGCTTAAATTGAAGAAAGTAGGGAAAAGCACTAGGCTACTCAGGTATGACCTAAAACATATCCCTGATGAATATACAGTAGAGGTGACAAATAGATTTAAGGAATTAGATCTGATAGACAGAGTGCCTGAAGAACTATGGACAGAGGTTTGCAACATTGTACAAGAGGT